TGTTGTAGGAGGAACCAGAAGCATCGTTGGAAGTTGACATCTGAAAAAGAAAAAGGACAAGTTTTGATTAGATAAGAAAATCCTTAATATAACACCCAAATGAAATATTAAGGCTAGGATCCAACTTTATAATTCACAATTCAGAAGAGGGATGCCGTAATCTAATTGCAAATTATTTAAAGGTAGGTAAATGATGATTTACCAATTTCACCACGAAAAATGAAATTTTGAACGAATTAAGGTTAAATGAAATTCCTAGATCTTTTGATATTCATTGAACTATTCAATGGCATGTTTGATCTCGATTATGCCCTTTCCATTTGTGGCTGGGATACCGAGGATCACACACAAGGTGTGAATAACCATGCAAATTAGCTTGGTACTCTCGATGTCATTTATCACCTAATTAATGTGCCGGTTAACCACACACGCTCCATTAATTAATGATAATTTACGAGACACCCATTACCACCCTTTATAAGTCCATATTAGTGTGTCGGTTAACCACACATGCTCCATTAACGACTTTTATAAAGTGCAATGTGCAATTTCATGGATTAACATCAAATTCACATTTTCCTAAAGTAACTAAGATTGAGAATTTAATAAAAACATTTAGTTACTTTATTTATTCCATTATACTTATTAATGAGAATTAAGTGTCCTATCAAACCCGGTCGGCTAACGACCCTCCACCAATCAAGGGAGCGGTGGGTAAGAGTGGATACTCAATGACAATCATTATAGGCCGCTTCCTTAAACCCCACTTGTAGATTGACTTTTTGAATGAGGCATATTAGCGGTTCGAATAACTTTTCTTAAAAGTTTTAATATTACATATAGTATAAGAGTGTATTTTAAACATTTTAAAATACTAGGGTTTTTAAATCTATTTAAAATTTCGAAAATTAAAAACAATTTTAATTTAAAATTTAAAATTTAAAACTTTGATTTAATAATTATCTATTAACTAAACCTTTAATTAATTTATTAAATCTATTAAATTAAACAAATTAATTAACCTAGGGCGTGTTCGGCAAAACTAGCTGTTAGGGGTAGCGAATAGCGGTTAGCGGTAGCTGGTAGCGGGTAGCGTTTGATTTTTGAGCGTTTTGTTGAAAGCTACTCCATGTAACTTTTGATTTTGGAGCGTTTTGTTTAGGTTAAAAGCTAAAGCTTCTATCGCCGAACGAGACTTTTTCTTTTTTACTAGCGTTTTCTTAAAAGCTAGAAGCTCCCAAACGTTGCGTGCCGAACACGCTCCTAAACCCTTACCCCCTAGATTTCGAAAATGGGGAGGGATAATTATAAGATCCTATAATATCTAGTTAACAATTAATAGATAATTACCAAATATAACAACCTTATCTAATCCCCATAATTTCGAAATTCATGACTTGGGGAGGAAGGCAAGGCTTTCAATCATTGACTTATTTCAAAAACCCTAGGGTTAGGAAACCCAAGGGATCTCGAAAATTAGGAGGCCAATGGAAAGGGTTAAAAAGCCTTTGCAAATTTTCAAAAATAAGGTTTTATGAAACCCTAATTGTGAAAATCACAAGGCCTAGGGTTTAATTTCCATAAACCCTAATTTTGTCAAATGCAATCAATTGCATCAAATCCAATTGAAAACACAAACCAATTGCTCTGATACCACTGATAGATTTAGAGCATACAAACAATCTTATGTGTGCATGCAACCCTAAATTTTTGGATCTATGTTTTCTCTATTAGACATACAAGCATTGAACACAAAACAAGAAACCCTAGAATGCATCTAAAATTTTCAAAATTAACAAAACTAGGGCTTAGACACATACATTGATTGTTATATTGTAATAACAATAGAATCCTTGAAGATCTTGAACTTGAGAACAAGTGTCACAAGTGTAACACCTCTAATGGCTCACAAACACACCAAGCAAGAGGATGAGAGGAGAGAGGAGGGAGGTTCTTCAAAGTTTCGGCTCTTCTTAGGGTTTCAAAGTGATGGTCGAAACTAAGAGGGGTGAGGCTCCTTTTATAGATGAGGTTGCTTAGTCCCAAAGCTAGGGTTTGCTGGAGGAAACCCTAATTTCCAGCTTAAGGCCTAAGCAGCCATGAACTCCCCGTCTCTAAGGCTTTGGACAAAAATCCTAGGGTCTCCCTAAGAGTTTTCGTCCAACCCCCTTTAGGGTTTTCCAAGAGCCCAAAATCACAACTATTAATTAATTGCTAAATAGCCCCTGTACTTTTAATTAATTCCTTTAATCCCAAAATTAATTCCAAATTAATTTATGATTAAATATTAATTAAAATAACATGATCTCTAATTAATGTATTAGTTTCATAATACATTAATAAATCATTTATTCCAATTTTATTATTCAAATAATAAATCCAACCTCTCTTTCCAAATGTCATCCTGTCTAGTTGCTAGTATGAAGGCAACCCAAAGGACTGTGCTACTATCATTTCAAGTACATATCAATTATAGTTATGGTCTTAGACACCTAATCCAACAGAAGGGACTTGGGCCCAATTTGGAAAATTGGGCCATAATTGAGCTTTGGGTGACCAATTTGGATTTGGGCCTTTTAGTGTAGTTAGTTTGGGCCTTGGTCTTGGACCAAGCTAGGTAAAGGGTAAAATGATATTTTTACCCTAATTTAGACTAGTGGTTATGGATTGGAATCCAATTATTAATTGGATGTTATTTTATGATGATAGCGCTTAGATTTTCGGACCGGTAGCTAGAGATTTATCTGTGAGATTCAGCAGTCTAAGGTGAGTCTTCCTCATTGTGTTTAGCGGATCGAAGGAACCAATGCTGACCCATGGTTTACTATGTTAAGGTGCTAGATGTCTGAGTGACTCTTGCATGTGTATGTATGCTTAGGGGCGGGGCCCAATGGGTAATCTATATGCATTACTTGTTATACTTGTATGTTTGTATGTTGGGCGGGGCCCGTTATGAGAGTTACGGTTAGGCCTATTATACTCAGTGGGCGGGGCTCGTTGTGCGAGTTAGGGCGAGGCCCGTTATACCTAGTGGGTGGGGCCCGTTATGCGAGTTAGGGCGGAGCCCGTAACACTCATCGGGCGGGGCCCATTATATGTTTCATATGTGTGGTATGTGGTATTTGGGGGAAAACTCACTAAGCTTCGTGCTTACGGTTTTCAGTTTATATTTCAGGTACTTCTGGTGCAAAAGGGGAGAGCTCGGGGTCATCACAGTGCACACACGATATAGTTCCGCATTTTCATGATAACTCTGATAATTGTGATGATTGATACAATTGTTCCATTTGGGATTTATGATGATGTTTGAATATTGTTTTTACTAAATTAAAAATGAAATTTTTGGGACGTTCCAAAATATGCCACAAAGACACTTCATTCAACGTTTGAATTTTCCTTCTTCTCCACTAAAACCCTATGTAAAAGGTATTTCACTGTACATGGGACCTCCAACTTCATTCTTATGGCTATCGCCACCATCAAATCATCCACAACCACCACCTTCTCTATCCATCTCCCACATCTGTTGCCGTCATCAATCTTCCACCACCGCCATCACCACCCAACTCTTAGAACTTCCTTTTGTCTGGCGATTCACTTCATCATTTGCGAAGGGAGAGCCCACCTCCATTTAACGAACCTACAACATTTTTTGTTGGATTTGATTTAGGTGAAACTGAGATCATCTCTACCTCATTGTTGACTACATTTGCTCCACAATACCACTAGTCGATGCCATCAATAATTCTTAAGTCTCTCTCCATATGCTAGAACTTTTCCAATGATCATTTTTTGTTGGGTTTGGCTTTTTTTTATCAGTTTAATTTTTTCTACCATACGCTACCATTAGATCTGGAACGATTTCGACAAATTTGATTTTTTTTGCATTCAATTTTTGTTAGGTTTGATTTTTTCTACTATCTCCTAGCATGTAACTTCAAGTTTTTTTTGTTGGGTTCAGTTATGTTTTTATTTGGGAAATCAATGGTGGTGGAATAAATTTCCGAATTTTGATTTTGTGTTTCACCGGTGGAATCGAATAATCGATGGTGGTGGTGATAGTGATGGAGATGAAATATATGTTTGTTCTGATTTTGTTTTCACTAGGAACACGTTCTTGATGGTATGCCTAAAATCTGAATGTTCTAAAAAATTGACAGTTATGTCATGTAAATTGACAATGGTAGGACACCAGCTTGATTCTTCTTCTGCAACTCTATGTATGTGTGTAGGAAACAAATTATATATAAAAAGAGAAATTAATAAATATATCTACGTGGAATCCACAAAGTCTAATTAGGTAGCTACATCATCGCTGAGTAATCAGTCAAGTCAACAAGAATGGTTAGGTGTCAGAGGTAACCGGATGCAATAGACAACACTGACCAAATAAGCAGGTCCACAAGAACTTTGTACCCCTAGAAAGCAAAAAATTAAGTTAAGAGACCATTTAAACCAAAATTAAAAAATTGGATGGGTTATAATGACATTAACCCAAAAAAATGACACACAAAGAGTTATTTCTACACTTTACTTAGAAAAATTAAGTTAAGAGACCACGAACGGACTAGACAAAATTTGCAATATGTATGGTCACTGTTTTAATTTTTGGAAAAAGGTGGTCTTGTTTTGACACACCACTTATTATGGGTATTTTAGTAAATAAGTTAAAAAAAAGTTATAACTATTTAAACACTACATAAAATATTTAAATAACAAACTCCACAAATGGTGAGAGTACAATAAATGTAATTTATCTTTATTTTAATGATCAAAATCCCACTCTTTATACGTTTTCCCTATATTTTCCCACCTGCACATTTATTAACTTTCCATATCTGGAAAGTGTGCTCTTGTGCCCCATTTAGGTGAAGTATGGTATGCATTATTGAGTAGGATGTCCCGATCTAGGACCCGGATCCATACAAGATCTTGCAACCAACTAAACGATGCTTATGCCTCAAGGGTCTATGCAACAGCTAAGCCAATCAACGAAGGATGGGGTCAATATACAAAAGCTCTTATTGATAAAAATGTAACCTAAAAATGGCCACAATAACAAATAAATTTTACAAGTAACAAGAGTTGAATTTGTAACTACATGATACAATATTACACTTATATCATAATAGAGTTGCTATTTTTGGAAAGTAAACGGAGTAGTGTTTGGATTTACAACTCCAGATGTGGATGAAGATGAAGAAGATATTGTGTATGACTTGTCAAATTCTTCTTTATCTTCGGTGAAAGCTTTATTTAAAGTTTCTTGAACATTCAAATATTTTTGCTTCTTTAATTCTCGCTCTTCCGGAGTGTTTTTCCATTTATGTGCTTCCGGATCAACTATCTTATTTAGTACTTCCGAACATCTTGGAAAGAAACGTTTCCCAAGTTCCACTGTTCATATGTGAGTCACATCACAATTTAAAGATCATTAAAGTTGGCCTTCCACTATTTAAAATCGTAAGTAATTACATTTTCATCCCTGAGTATAGCTGATTTGTTCAATTTTGGTCCCAAACTTATTTGAGGTTTCTATAACGTTTTTGAGACCAAAATTTGGAATTAATTCTGAAATCTCTTGGGACCAAAAACACTTGGACACTTTTTGGGACCAAACTTACATTTTCTAAAACACTTTTTGGGACCAAAAATTGGAATCTGAAATCTCTTGGACACATGTACAGAATATAATGTAGAAAGATAATAATATACCTGTTTTAGAGAGGGCTCTTAATCTAATAAGATGTTCCTCTTTGATCAAAAAAGGTGCATCATTTAAATCCACCGATCTTTGTGCATTTGCCAAATTCTGAGAGTATACGCTTTCTAATGTGAATTCAGAAGTGCCCTCAACTTGAGCAATCTCCATTGCCACCTTCGCTTCCATAGGAAATAAAAGACTAGCCAGTGCAACTGCCAAAAAAAAAAAAACAAAACGTAAGAAAGTGTAATGTTGTAATAGAAACACACATTTTGACTTGTCTTTAAAGTTTCAAATTCCATACCTCTATTTTCAAGATATAACAACTTCACCCTCAAATCATCTCCAGCCATAGCAAGAGAAGCCGAAGCCTCTCCCAACAAAGGATTCCTTCTTTCCGCTTGTTCCAATATCTCAATACACAACCGACCTTTCCCACACTCTTTCCCTTCCTCGGTTGACTTATAATAGTCAACCGCCCTCGTAAGTCTTTTTGAAATCTCAAGTGCTTTTTTACCATCCGGGGTAAGATCCGCCGGGCGTGCGCCTTTTGTAAGAAGTGACACTATTATATTCGGCTCTTTTCTCATTGCCGCTACATGTAACACTGTTAAACCCCTCGAATTTCTAAAATTGACATCCGCGAGCGACAAATCAAGTAACTCGGTTGTTGTTTTAGCATCCGCGTATGCAACCGCGTAATGAAGGGCACAAGAGTTATCTAAAGATGTATGGCCTTCTCGTAATAGCATTGTGACTAATTCAACGTCGTCTGAATCGAGAGCTCGGTGGACACGTTTTATGTGTTTGTCTGGGAAACTACTGCTTCCGGGCTTGTCTAGACCAAGGGCAAAACGGGAATCGATGATTTGTTTGACTATTTGTTCGGGTAATGCTTTGTCGAGAGTTACAAAGTCAACGTTTGATTTGACTAAAATTTCGATGGATTTGGAAAGAAGTTGGTTGCATGATTTCCCACATGTGTTTGCAACCGATAGAATTACTAGAATGTCATCTGCGGAAGCTTTGTCAAGAATGTTGAGTATGCGCGTCTACATTAAAAAAGGAAAATAATAATTATTCCGACGGAATAAAAATCTAAGATGTCATTAAGTGGTAACCAAGTTTCAGATTTGTTCCATATAGGCATCTCAAACTTTTTTTAGAAGAGGTCTAACCACTTAGGTTTCATTTTTGTTCCATTTATGTGAAATCAGGTAAATTGTAACTTGTTTACCTGTTTGTTTGACAATGACGTGTCACGTCATTGTCAAATCATTAGTGAAACAGGTAAACATGTTACAATTATCTAATTTCACATAAATGAAACAAAAATGAAACTTAAGTGGTTAGACCTCTTCTAAAAAAAGTTTGAGATGCCTATGTGGAACAAATTTGAAACTTGGTTACTATTTCGTGACGTTGTTCAAAATATTTATAGCAATGACAAGTGTCCATGTTTCTTTATGTTGATAGAAACTATGGTTTCTTAGAGGATAAAGAGGGTGTTTGGATGTAAGTTTTGAAAGTGCTTATCTTATTATTGTAATTTCAGGTTGCAATATTAAGTTTTTAGTGTTTAGGTATCACACTTCTACTTATGATTATACGATTATATAGGAGGGGTTAAATAATCTTTTTAAATAACCATTTTGATAGTAGTTGCAACAAAACTTATTATCATACGCCCAGCTAACAATTACCTGAAAATGTAAGGGTAATTTAGTAAATATACCTGCCAGAGAGTAACCATTTCTGGGATCTGGAAAATGTGAAAGGCATACATCACCTCCACCATGAAATCAACGGCAGGTCGGCAAGCTTCATGGGAACAACCTTCATCAACACAAGTACAAGCATCTTTAGGTAAACCGTTAATCTTACCACTATACATATACTTCAATACACTAATTAAAGATTCGAATCCGATTTCATAATCACTAGCTAATTCCTTCATCTCCAGTTTCACATTGCGATTCTTGTCCTTATTGGAACTGTCATCAAATTTATTCTTGAAAAAGGGGCTCCTCCCCGACAGGATGCACCGGTGGACAGGGATTTCCCGGCCACCGGAAAGAATAATTTTGGCGTCAGCAAAGGAATTCGAGGGTTCCAGTAAGATAGATTCTAGGGTTTCCGATAGACGATCGAGGGCGGAAACATCGGAAAGAATAAGGGGAGGTTCAAATTCATTGGTGGTGGGTGTAGATGATATACCGCTGCTCCCACTGATCATATCGGTTGAATCAGAGAACCCAGTTCGTGTATCCATCATCGACCCTTCAGGTTACACTCTCACTTTTTTTTTTTTTTTGCTGATTTGTAAAACTAAAACGGAAACCATGCAAAAATCGATCAACAAAGTGTAGATGGTGAGTGGATGTTAAATTAGAGATGGACCCATATGGATATGAGTGAGGAGAAGGTACGAACAGCCATCATGTTCGTGGAGAAAAAGGCAAGTTTTGGGGGAAAATGGAGTGTAGGAGTTGATTGGTCAACAGTCAACTGGGGTTTGTTTGAATTTTCTATAGATGTGTAAAGGGAAAGAGAAGTTGGATTCATGATATGAATATAATAACATGGATGATGATGATGATGAAGTCAAAACAGTGAGATCTGAATGAGATGACGAAGCCAAAAAAACAAAAACAAAAGGGGAAAAAAGCAGACGGATTTTCCACTTCAAAAAACGTGGGGGGGGGGGGGGATGCCAAATTATTTTGTAATGATTTGTCCTATTTCTGTTGTGGTTATTAAATTAGTTTTTTATTATGTATTTTTATTTGAAAATTCAGTAACTCGATGATAGATAGTGAATTTTTTTTAAAGACAACGTAATAATATTTGTTAAAGTAGACAACTGTTTTTACTTAAAAGTTTAGAAAATTAGTTTTTTTTTCTTTAGTTGTATTAATTTAAATCATTCTTATGTATAAGTGCATTTTCTATAAAATGTCAATGTCAAACTGGCCAATGAGTATACACCTAAAGTCAACTTAAGGAATGACTCCATCTAACTTCTAGATATATTAGGAGTCGGTAAACGCCCAATAATATATCTTGTAGGGGTGTGCAATAAACCGCACAAACCGCATAAAGCGCCCGCACCGCACCGCATAACGCGGTTTAAAACACTTGCGGTGCGGTTTGCGGTTTGTATTTTTGTTAAACCGCATTATGCGGTGCGGTTTGCGGTTTACGATTACAAAATTGCGGTTTAAACCGCACCGCATTGATAAAATTAATTAATGATTATATATATATTCGAAAATAATTTGATAGGTCCTAAATTAATGACATTATCTTAAGTTTTTGAAATGTAATCTTAATTAATCCAAAATTTAATGCAAAATTTAATGGAGTGACCATATTTTTTATCTCAATGTCATTTTCAACTAACATTCAGTGACCATTATTTTATGGTCACTATGTTTTCTTAACTTATGTATATTCATAAGTAGTTAATGACCACAATTCTATTACCACCAAATTTTTTTAATGACCACTTAGTGAGCCGTTAGTGACGACGATGATAGTATTGTCATTAAATTTAAAGTAAACAATTACTCAAACCGCAAAACCGCATGTAAACCGCATAAACCGCCCGCACCAAACCGCACTACAGAATACGGTTTTGAACGTTCGCGGTGCGGTTTACGGTTTCTAAATAACTCAAACCGCATGTGCGGTGCGGTTTGCGGTTTTGGCTCTAAACCGCACCGCGCACACCCCTAATATCTTGTATTGTGCATTGGGTACTTACGCCTCAGCTCTGGGATTTTTTTGATGGATGGAACTTGAGAGGAGAGGGAGGAGAATGGAACACAAAGAAATGGAAGAAAAGTACTAATGAAGTGTGAAATGGAATCAAACCTTTTTTTGTTTTCCCCTTCTTATACGCTCAAAAATGAGTCGATGAAAGACATATAATTTGTTTTCCCCTTCTTCCATTTCACACTTTAAATTAACTTGAGAACAAGGTGTTAGCTTATGAATTTCATCACTTTCTTTAGTTAAATATAACAAGGCAAAATGGATATAGATAGATGCAAATTATATGATTACCTTTATTAATGTTTATGTAAGTGTTAGTAAAAAATCTCGATTAGGTTCCGATTAATCTTCGATTAATTCTTAAGCACTACCCGACCAACTAATAGGCACCTAGCGGTTAATCCATGCCTATACAATGAGCGGAACAGTAGCAAAAGATGAAATTTTAACACTTTGAAGAACTTTCATCTCAATGGAAACTATTTGAATAATAATTAATGTTGGATTAATCATATTAACCTATTTTGCTATGATATTAGTGGTACTTACGAACTTCGTTTTAATATTAGTCATATTTAATTTTTTAAAATTCAATGAATTAGCAATTTAGGATCCCTAATTAATCATTGTCTACTTCACCGACTGGCTAACGTCGAACGTTTTTTACAACCTTGGTTTGTATAGATTTTCAAATAAATCACTATTTTTTCATTAAACTCCGCCTATTAGAATTTTTTTTGTTAAAATTGTGTTTTAGCTGGTTGCTCTTGTTTTAGTGCTCTTGTTGACAAAATTGCAAAAATGGTCCCTGTGGTTGGCAAATTTATGTGCTTTCGGTCCAAAATGAAATGTTGGTGCACAACTGATCCAAATTTGGATATCTTGTGTAGTTTTGGTCCTTATGGTTATCATTTTTTGTGGTTTTGGTCCATACCCTATCTAAAATGACGATTATGCCCTTAAATGATTGTTTTTTTAATTTAGTTCCTATTATTTTAATTAAAAAAACCAAAAAACCTACCCCACCTCTCTTAAGTAACACCCCACCCCCACCCTCTCTCCCTCTCTCTCTCTCTCTAATGTTGTTAAAGACCTATCACTGGCCTTCAACCCACTGCCTCCACCATCGTCGACCATTGCTACCTCAAAAACTTCAATCAACCATCGTCACCACATCTTCCTTCCTCAATAGATTCGTATCCATAAAAATCCATATCATATCAGGTGTTGTGGTGGGACATGATTGGGGCACAACTGTCGCTCGGCATCTAGTCTTTTCCGGCCAGATAGAGTCAAGGGAATCATTTCTCTCGGTATTCCATTGTTCTCTAGATCCCCAAGCATGTAGAGTGTAGCCTGATTTTTTGTGCATCTTATTGGTTTCACAACATAAACAATGAAAGATCAAACCCATTTCGTAATCAACGAGAAAGGGAGTGGCAGAAAGCCGCCCTTGTTTATCTATTCGAGCCACCATAATCAGTCGCCATCTCCATCACCGTTATCATAAATAACACCACCACCTGTTAAATCTGCATCACAAAAAAAAATCCCACCTACCCCACCCTAAAAAATTGAATTCAGTCAAACCCCACTCCCACCAATCAAATTTGTTCCTCACCGTCTCTCTCTTCGTGCCAAAGGTTTAGCACGTCTCCGGTGGCGACCCCCCTAGCGAGGGCTAGGGGCGGTGTTCTAGCGAGGTTGGCGACGCTGGCGAGGCAAATGGCGAGTGCCACTCCGCTTATTCTAATTGTGGGAGAAGACAACCGGTTAACATCTTCTCCCCAAATCAAACTGAAATTCGATACTAGACCACACCATACCAAATCAAGAACAAACCTGGAACCTGCAACAAATATCAAAACCTGAGAATCTTTCCAGGTAAAAAAACTTAGCCCCCTCTAAATCCAAAATCGAAAATAATCAGCCCCCGTCGAGAAGGCGTGACAAACACAGGTGGTTGGGGAGATTGTCGACGATGGTTTTTCTAGTTCACTGGTGGTGAAAAACGTTGGAGCTTCTAGAGCTCTTTCTCAGCCGGTGATGGGAGGGAAGAGAGATAGCTCCAACGAGATATGGGTTTCAGGTCTGAGAAAGAGAGGCATCTGGTGGGGGATAACGGTGGAGAAGATGGAGATGGTCGGAGAAGGATGGTGATGGGGGCGAACGTTGATGGCAGGAGGAGGTCAGGTGGAGGTGTTCTTGATGGTATGTGTTTGTGTGTGTTTTAAAGAAGTAGCAACAGACGAAGGGGGGAGAGAGAGCGAGCAAGAGAGAGGGCCCTTCTTTTAGAGTAAATTATCTTTTTTTTATATAATAAATAATAAATGAACTAAAAGAAAAGGAAAACGGAATTCAGGAGGGGTATAAAAGTCTTTTCAGGGTGTAAAGGGACCAAAATCACTAAAAAAATCCAATTTTGGCCAATGGTGCACCAACATTTCATTTTGGACCAAAAGCACATAAATTTGCCAACCACAGGATCACTTTTACAATTTTGTCGCTCTTGTTTTAGTCTCTTGTTTAGTCTCTTATAACAGTGAGTTTATTTTTTGTTGACTTGGTCAAACAACCCACCCCTTCTTTCCAATCCCCTTCAAGAGTCTCTAGTTTCTTAAAATAAAGATGAAAATGATGACAGTTGTACCGATGATTAATTATGAGATTTGTTATTATTTTATTTCTTACATGTGTAGAATATACACACCATAAATATTGTAAGTTTACATATGTGACCTTAGCTCTCTCACATATTTGGCCTAGTTGAACACGATATGTGGATGAAGTGACGATGAATGTAAGTTTGTGTGGAACATGACCGAAAGCTAAAAGAATTTAAGGAAAACTGGAACTTGTTTAAGTTTCTTGATGCATATGCATGCAATAAGCCAATAAACAAGAGCTTTCTTTGTAGACTCAACTCTTACTAGTTTAGTTAATTTAAACAAGAAACAATAATGGAGTCGTAACCACTTCAATGCAAGAAAAGGAAAACGGATTTGGCAATACCAAGTTT